TAATTTTTTCTTAAACTATTTATCCAATCGACATTCTAAACAAACCGACATGTTCTCTGATGTTTGGTCTATAACTTTTATAGAAAGCCATTTTTTGCTAGACCCAATATTTTTCGGGGTAGAGCGAGGAGAAACGATTTTAAAAATATGGGTTTTCAGACTCATTCTAAGTCATTTTGTATGAAGGCACTCCGTATACAACAATGGTTTGACGTATTTTTATAAATAAAATAAAAATATTTCTAATGTCCGGATCGATATGCAAATTTGAAGAATGAATTTTCGGATATCGTAGATCCGAAAAAGGACGAAAAACAAATTAGCACTTTTTTGTAAGGCTCCCCACCACTCCCCTCACGCTACGATTTTTGGACGACCAAGTGATTTTGCATTAGAAAAATATTAGAAACGAATAAAAATAGGTTTTGCATTTTAGCAACAAAGTGCCCACCAAAATCTATTCTAGAAGCCTTTTTCCTGGTCTGGAATTATATTTACTCTTGTACAAAACTAATATTTTTATGTTAAAACACGATTAGAATGTTAAAATGATAGCTTTTGTTATACAGATAAACTGTTTAGTTTAAATAATTTCCCCTTTTTAATTCTGTACATAAATAATAAACAAAAAGAGCTTTGAGAATAGATTTCACAAATTCAATAAAACAGAGCATTTTAGTAATTCGGTTTATAAAGTTTATGTTGAATTATTTAATAATATACACAAAAATTATAATCATTACTTAGCTTCTGTTATCTTTGAATTTTGTTTTACTACTTCAACTGACCGCTGCCCTTGCAATATTTTTAAAATACAAAACACCATAACCGCAAATTACTTTACTGTTTGAGTAGGAAATATGCAATACAACACGAGCTCCGGTCGCTCGACTAATACTCTTTAGAGCTGGCAACAGTGTCTGATCTCGCGTTGATCTGTAAATATCTAAAATTTCGTATATAAGTCTTCCCCTTCCCTTTTCAGCTACAGATCTCATTTTGTTGTAAATTTATCAAAAAAATTTAAGTTCAAAAATCTTTTCCCCTCTAAGTGTGCCATGATTAATATGTTAATTATAAAGATAGTTATGAACAATATACTCCATTAATTAATTTCCTATTGGTGGATCTCGGTTGTCCTCGATTTAATCGGATCTCGACTTGATATGAAGACGTATATATATATATATATATATATATATATATATATATATATATATATATATATACATATATATATATATATAATATATATATATATTTATTTATATATATATATATATATATATATATATATATATATACATATATATACATATATATATATACATATATATATATATATATATATATATATATATATATATATATATATATATATATATATATATATATATATATATATATAATGCTATAAAAGAAATGAAAAAAATGCAAATCAGCATCCTCGGAATAAGCAAAATGCAATGGCCGAGATCAGTAGTATATGACGTAGATGAATATCAAGTGTACCATGCCGGAAATACCAATGCCAATCACTATAGGTAATGGAGTTGCAATCGTAGTAGCAAAACAATTAGCTAAATCAGTATTAACTTATATCCCCATATCTGACAGAGTAAGGCTAGTGAAATTTAGTTCAAAGCCGTTCATTACCAATGTAATTCAGGTCTATGCCCTAACATCATCCAGTGATGAAGATAAATTAGAAGCATTTTACAAAGATCTTACATATGCTCTAGATCTTGTCAAAACAGCAAAAAATACCATAGTCCTCGGAGATTTTACCGCTAAAGTCGGCAAAGGACGCTGTTTGAACATTGTGGGGAATTATGACTTGGGAAACAGAAACGGACGTGAAGATCGACTAGTCCAGTTCTGTCAAGAACACGATTTCATTATATCGAATACTCACTCTAAACTACCACATAAAAGACTCTACACCTGGAAGTCAAATGCAGAATCAAAGGACAAAATTATTAGGAACCAAATCGATTTCATTCTAATAAAAAATCGATTTAGAAACTACACAAATCCGTTAAAACTCATCCAGGTGCTGATATTGGGTCTGATTATAATTCCATAGTAACTGAAACCCAATTAAAATAAAAAGGTGATCAAAAAGAAGTCACGCAAAAATATTGATACAGCCCAATTATAAGACGAGAAAGTTAAGGAATCAGTTTAAATACAAATAAACGAAAATTTAATTTGAGGAAATATTAGTAAAAAAAAGATGAGGGCAATGTGGCAACGTCTTACAAACAACAGAGAGTTGTTTGGGTGAGAAACAGAGAAATGGATGGCGAGAATTAGGAGAGGCCTATATTCGGCAATCCGAATAGAGAAAAGGGCTTAAAAAAATTAATAAATGATAGCAATGTTTTAGAGGCTATAACTTCATTTTTTAATACCATTTATACCAGCGGACAACTACCTAATGGGTGGTCTAAGTCACTGTTAATAGCTCTACCTAAGAAGACACCAGCAAAAACCTGTGCTGATTATAGAACCATCCGTTTGGTAAACCACTTATTGAAAATTTTTCTGACAGTAATACATAGTCGTATCTATAATAAATTGCGACGAATACCTGGATGACACTCAGTTTGGTTTCCGTAACGGGTTTGGAACAATAAAAGCACTGTTTGGAATTAACATACTTAGTAAATATATCTGTAGACATATTATACTGATGTTTTATTGACTTCCAAAAAGCATTTGATCATACTAAGTACTCTATATTGATCGAAGCTCTAAAAGACATTGACTTGGACGGCAGATACGTTCGAATAATTGCAAATTTATATTGGAATCAAACAACATCAGTTTTAGTAGATTGTGTAGAATCACAGGCTCTCAATATTAAAAGAGGAGTACGGCAGTGTTGCCTCTTGTCACCTCTGCTTTTCAACGTTTACTCCAAAAGAATTTTTAGAAAAGCACTCTCTGAAAAACAAGAAGGAATACTTGTGAACGGTGAAGTCATCAACAATTTGCGATATTCAGACGATACAGTACTGCTAGCTTCTAGTCAAGAAGATCTGCAAACACTACTTGATAGTTTCGTTGAGAGTTGTAGGGAGGCAGGTCTGGATCTGAAAATACGGAAAACCAAAATACTTGTAATAAGTAAACAACAGCATATAAAACCGTCTATATATATATATATATATATATATATATATATATATATATATATATATATATATATATATATATATATATATATATATATATATATAAATAATACCAAACTTGAGCAAGTTTATAAAATCGTTAACCTTGGACAGTAAATAAATTGTAATGCAGAAAGTCACGGCGAAATTACATCTAGGATAGAGCAGGCTAGAGCTGCTTTTAGATAAATTTCCAAGGTGTTATGTAACGGAGACCTAAAATTGGCATTGATGATCCGTTTCTTTTGCTGCTACGTGTTCTCTCTCTTACTTTATGGTGTCGAGTCCTGGACTGTAAATAAAATCGATTTAAATCTCCTTGAGGCTTTCGAAATGTGGTGGGATAGAAGAATTTTAAAAGTTTTATGGGTGGAGAAGATTCGAAACTCCACAATACTAGCACATCTCAGCAAGACTACTGAGATCTTTAAAAAGCATCAAACAGAGAAAGCTGGAGTATTGCGGACATGTAATGAGAGGTTCCAAATATAGGTTGCTACAAAGAAACATATCAGTTAAACGCAGTCCAGGACGAAGAACAACCTCACGGTTGAGGATCTTGCAAGATTGGTATGATGTTGATACAAGCATGTTATTTAGGGTGGCAGTGAATACAATTTATTAAGATAGCTATGATGGTAAACAACGTTCTGAAAGGACATGGTACATGAAGAAACATTTTATCCTTTTAAGAACGAATAAAATTTACTCTCCCTATCATAGTGCCGGTGTGAGACTGTAGGAGAAGAAATCCACAATTTGTAGAACTCTGCCCTAGACAAAATAGGTGATAAAGTCTTAATAGCTTGGATTATATAGCATTACATAGAGGTAAAAACCATCTCATATGCCATTTCTTGTTTTTGTCGTAGGTGTGTATCTGCTTCAGTGAGGTCTGTTTTTTTCATTGCTATTTTTATTTGTTAGTTCCACTGTTATCTAGAACGTCCTCTTTTCCTCCTTTCATTTGATTTCCATTTTCAAATTCTCAGAGGTATTCTTGTGTTTTCCATCCTTTGCGTATATCCATACTTGAGTTATTTCGGTTTTTCTATTTCTTCATTTAGTGTCTCCTTCACATTCATTAGTTCTCTAATTCGTTCATTTTGTCATTTTGTCCATTAGTGTTAATCTGCAGCGTCTTCTCCAAAACATAATTTATTCTATTTTCTATTATTTTATTTGCCACCCAAATCTCTGAGCCATACAATGAGCAGCTTTCCACTATTGTCTTAAAGATTTGGTGTTTAGTTTTTCTTGTAACATCGCCGCTCAATATAGTCGAATGTAATTGTGGTGTTATCTTTTCTTTTTTTATTTTATTTAATATATGTGTTTTATCTAGTCCTGTATTTGTTAAAGGTATCCTAAGTATCTAGTCCTTTGCGGTGTTTCCAGTGACCATTTATTGCGTTTTATCATAAAGAATTTCAAAAAACTAGATTCCAAATTCTTTTTCCAATTTTTTTTTTCATGTAGACGATGTGGTCCTTTTATTTGTTGTTCCAATTTTTAGTGTTTCATCTATGTGAAGTTAAATAAGGTTGTTAATAGGCAGCATCCTTGCTTAAGTTCTTCCTGTATCTACTTCACACGATTTTGTCCGACAGCCTGTCAATATCAACTTTACCATAGCTCTGAAGATAGCTTTGGCCTAAGATGGCGCTCAGCTAGGAAATAAATGTTTACATACTTCAAAAATACTTTTCTTTTCCATTCTTTAATTTGTCATAAGTGTGTAAAAAAGCATACCAGTCTTTATATTTATATTTTAATATATGTATAATTTTATTGTCTATTTTATATATTTTTTTGTTGTAGTATCTCAATCATATTCCAAAAGGATCAACAATATGCAGAAAAGACAATCTAGTTAGATATTTAAGATGCATGCGAAAAGTATACGGATCGATTTATGATTTTAGGTAAGTCGATTACATTTTATTGTTATAATACTCCTATTTGATAATATTTATTTTATAGTTTTTCGTAATGTATATATGGTGACCTTAAAAGTTTTATAAGACATGCATTCAGTACTAGTAGCATTTAATCAAGATAAAATTATCTTATAAGCGTACTTATAGAATAGAACAAAACAAAATTTCTCAAGAATGGAGATCAAGCATCTTAATACCTCTCTACAAAAAGGGAGACACAGTGATAATATAATAATGATAATATTATATAATATAATATATTATGATAATAATTAAGATAATAAACTGACTGAAATTATAACACTGGCAGAAGAACAGCAAGGCTTTAGGTAGGGAAAAACATGCACCGACGCCATATTTATCATGAGGCAAGTGCAAGAGAAATCACTAGAATACAACAAACCTGCATATTTATATTTCGTGGACTTTAAGAAGGCATTTGACTGGGGTAAATTAAAGGACTCTATCCACTTATTGTACGATATAGAGATACCTCTAGGAATAATCAAAGAGATCAAAAATATCTACCAAAACAATAAGAGTAAAAGTAAAACAAGAACTAACCGACCCCATTAATAACAAATAACAACAAATAATAAAAAAATACGAACTAAAAAGAATACCAAATGGGAAAAATCAACTTAAAATAATCTGCTATTCAGACGATGCAATACTACTCTCTCAAAATAAAGATGATTTACAACGGATGCTGCACCAATCTAATAAAACCACCAAACAATTCAACATGTTAATTTCCCCAAAAAAGACAAAATACATGGTTATAACAGCAAATTTACTAAGATTTAAATTAGTACAGGAATGTCAGATAATCAACAAGTGATGGAGTTTAAGTATCTGTGCATCACAATATCTAGCTACGGAAAACTCGAAACTGAAATGGAAGATCAAGTTAATAGAGCAAACAAAGGGCAGGTTACCTGAATAAAACAATAGGAAGAAATAAAAATATCAGCAGAGAAATGAAAGACAGAAATTACAAAACAGTCGTTAGACTAATAATGACATACGTGGCAGAAACACGACCTGACACATAGAGGACAAAGAGGATGTTAGAAACAGCAGAGATGAAAATACTTAGAAAAATTTATGGTGGTAAGACACTATGGGACAGAGCTAGAAGTACAGATATATGACGTGGGTACAAGGTGGAGAATATTAAGAACTGGATAAGAACTTAATAATGAATAAGTGTTATACTTACTACTCTATTTGTTGTCATTCGGCTTATGTAATCATTCCATTCCACTCTTTTCTTTTTTGCCATGTCTTATCTCTTACTATGCATCTAAGTCGTATGTCTACACTTTTAGCTCTGTTTAAAAATTTTCCTTCCTTCCTTAATGCAAAGTTGTCTTCTATAACTCCAGACAGGCTTTATACTTATCTTTTCTGCTAAGTGTGAGTTCCAGTTGATTTCTTTTTGTAAAGATATGTTTTTCCATGTAATTCTTCTCTTCAAGTGGATACCTAGGTATTTGGGATCTTCTTTTTGGGGAAGTTGCTGATTTTTAAGGATTACTGGTTGAAAGTTGTCTCTGCGGTCTGTGATCGTAATATGTACCTGCTTAATTTTGTTTATCTTGATGCGCCATCTCTTTAGACAATGCTGGATGCCATTTAGTATTATCTGGAGTCGGTATGAAGTAATAATTGGAATAAAGTATAATGTCAAAATGGCGGTATCAACAGCATATGTGGCTATTGTGAAGTTCACTGTAGTTGGTAAGTCGGCAGTATATAAAAAGTACAGGAAGGGTCCAAGCACACTGCACTGAAGAACTTCAGCCTGGACTGGATGGATGCTAGAGTATTCTTGATACTAAGTTACGAAGAATTGTCGGTTTTGAAAGTAGGATTATAAAATCAGAAAATGATTAACAGGTAGAAGTTTTTTGATTTTATAAGGCCAGTATGCCAGACCTTATCAAATACCTTGTTCGATGGTTGAGTGTTTCGGTATGAAACCGAATTAATGATTTGATGTTATCTGGAAATTTTTCAATATGGGTTCTAATTTTAGTAGCTAAAGCTTTTCAAGTAGGTTTTTTGGAATTAACAACAGACTAAGTGGTCTTTACGAGGTGGCACTATTTATAGTTTTGCCAGGCTTGGGGATCAGTATAAATTTCACTAGTTTTTACTGTATCGGAAAGTTACCGGTCCTTAAAACGGAATTATAGATTTCTGTTAAAAACTGTAGCCCTTTGTTGGGTAATTCTTCAAGTAATTTATTTGTAATGAGGTCGTGACTAAGAGACTTCTGTGGGTTTATTTTAGTGTTAATGGTGTCCTTCACTTAATTGATTTTAAAATTTCCAAGTGGGAGTTTAAGCTAGAATGAATTTAGATTTGAAGTTTGTAGCCTTTCATAATAAGTATTCTGTTAACTTGGTCGCCGTTAGGTTTTTAAGGTAGTTGCTAAAATCCAAATTCTTGTGATTGTTAAGAGTTCTTTCTTTTCAGTTTCATCGTTGCTCTGTTAAGTATTGCCTTATCTCGTGGTGACTCTGCCCTTTGTCAGATTTTCCTAAGTCTCCTTTTGTTAGCGATTTTCTCCTTAATAATTGTTGGTAAATAATGATTATTATAGTACATTAGCTGAACTGATCGGGTTAAGTGTTTCACAGCTACGTCGATTTGTGTTTTTACTTAGTTTTTACTGAGATATTGAGTTTTTCATCTAAGATGGTTTTAAAGTGGTCCCAGTTAGTATAAGAATGACTGAGAAACGTTGTACTGTCTTAAACTACATTACAGTTCATTATTATTAGAAGACGGGAGTAGTCAGAAGATAAGTAAAAACATGACTTTGCAAACAAAAGTATTTTTGGGGTGCTTTTGGTAACACAAAGTCGAACAGATCAGGCACTTTGTTTCTGTCTGTAGGCCAATACGTAGGCTCATATAGAAGAATTATGCCTTAGTTAAGCACTAAATAAAAAATACAAGGTCTAGAGATGTAGATGTAACGAACACTAGTGATAATATTGTACGTAGGTAGATAGAATAAACAATGAAAAATTTACTATTTTTACTGGGAATTAACCGCTGTCGGATTTTCAAGTAGAAATCAAAACATTATATTAACTGGTTACAACAAAATAACTTCAGAACAACGATTAAGAAGTTTTTAACGATTATTAAAATAAACAGAAGTAATTGATATAACAAAGATAAGAATGTTTTGACCCTTGGCTATATAATGCAAATACAACTAGCTAATAATACAACCAGCTAATGCAAATTATTATTCAGGGAAAACCTACCATTGGAACATTGTTAACTACACCACGTCACCAAATTGTTTAATTGCTTATCAAGCTCTTTAGTGCAGAACCAAACATGATCCTATTAAGGATTATGGTCACAAATCTTCGATAGAAGATGATATCTTAAGAAAAAAAAGTCCACCGATTATCTTATCTAATATTTATCCAAACTTTGATTTGATTTGCTTTTGCTTTATAAGCCTTGATGTATGTTTTTTAATAGGACTTTTGAAACCCTATTATTCTGATGATGAGCATTTGTTACCAGTCTTCAGAATAAACTCCATCAATTTCAAAATCAGTTCAATAAATGTGTTCAAATATCGACGATATTGTTCAGAGAACGAATTTTGTGTTTTAGTTGTCTATTTATGTTGCAAAACAATATTTCTTATGATAGTGTTCCCCCCACTAGAACATGGCAAGCGATGAAAAGACTAACATAAAAATAAAGCTAATAAAAGTTGTAAATCCATAAACAAAAGCTGTAAAAATCAATTACCGCACAACAGTTAAAATCAAACACGGAAATAAGGTTAGCAAAGGGTTCAGAGCAACAAAAGGTCTTAAACAAGGCTGCTGCTTGCATCATCCACATTACTTAAAATATTTTTAGAAGAAACATTAAAAGAATGGAAGAAAAAGTGCTTAAATTTGGGGCTAATATCTAATGACAGTATCTTCTATGTCCATTATGTTGTGTCATAGTTTATTTAGGTGCGTCTTCTTCTTCTTCGTTTTTTTTTGGGTTTCGATTGTATAATTAATTACCCAGTACATGTAAAGTTATGCTTGCCTTGCTCCAGGCAATGCACAACCAGGGATAAATTTCTCAATGCTACAACACTAAAAAACTTTGTATAAATACCGTTAAATTTTTATAAATCTACTGAACAAACACAATAAAGAACTTTGTTTTTACAGACTTTAACTAAAAAATTACTTTTTTTAAGGATGCTTAAGATATTTTATATAAACTTAATATTCTTTGCACAAACTAGTTCGGTGGCATAATTGCCATGGTATTCTCATGACGGTAAAGCCTCAAATCTATCTAGATATGTCTTGTAAATGGAATGTTACCAAGATACTTGACTAGCTTATTAGAAGGAAAAAAATGGCCTACCGCAAATGAGGTAGAAATCTAAAGCAAGAAGATTAAAGGAGACTGTATAAACTAGACAGACAAGTAAGAAAGAACAATAATAATATACCGTGTATAAATTTCGCAGACTAGTAAGATAAGAAAATAAACAGAAAGGAATAGAGGTGGATGATTCACCAGGCAATAGCAATATTAAGATAATCACGTCTAATAAAGTCCTGATCTTTGGTATAAGAGCTGTGAGTTATGAATCTGCATGGCTTCTTGAATTAAGTTACATACGCACATACATGAGATATTTATATCTGTTTTTTCCTAATTTCATTTATTTCTTTATTCCATCAATAGATATTTTAAATTTTTTATTTATCATGATTTCATTATCTTCTAAAATTTGTAACCATAAATATTTCCCGAAGTTGTTACATTCACAGAATATTAAAGGAATGAGAAACTTCGGTTTTGAAAAGAGATTTCCAACAATGTGTGTTAATCAACTTGATTGGTCAATTTAGTTTAATATCCTTATTTATAACATATACTTTTCTGCAATTTATTTTCTATGTCTTAAGAAGGGAACCATTTTTATGTCTAAAAGCAGAATTAAAATATTTATGAATTAAAATAAGGAAGTCAACAGATTTGTCATGCAGATAAAAATAGTTTACGGTAGTATAATCTCACGTAAATCGAAAATATAGATCTTCATTTTTATTGTTTTGAATTATGTAGAAAAAAATAAATACATTTTGCTGAATTTTGTTCTTTGTGTTTAAAAGTTTGTATACAAATCATTTAAAAATTGCATGTTAGAATTGTATTTCTTTTATTGATTACGTGTTTTCTACAGAATCAGTGGAAGACTAATTTGAGGAGCTATCACTATTTAGAGAAAAATGTTAAAACACAAATAAGTTCAATACATTTTAATAGACCCAATATATTTTATTTAAACTAAACAAATGTAATAATGACTATCTCTCTAGCTTTAAAGATTTGTTATTGTTAATTATGCATAGTACCTAGCCTCTAAAATGTAGAACTGTCTCACAAGGATGATCGGCTATGAAAAATATCTGTAAAACATCTTACAAAAACAACAACAAATAATAAGGGGTGAATGACACAAGATATACTAGACTTAATGGAACAAAGAAGAAAGATGAAGAATTACCCAGACAAATACAAAGAAATAAATAAACACATAAAAAAGAGAATAAAAGAAGTCAAAGAGGAGTGGATTAAAAAACAATGTGAAGAAATGCAAACCTAGAAAAAAGAAATGAAAGGAGAAAAACGGAAATGGAGAAAAAGTACGATGCATTTAATATGTACAAAAAAGTAAAAGAGATAAGAGGCACAAAGAAATGTCAAATAAGTAAACTTGAAGACAAAGATGGAAATCTTATTGTAGATCCAGAGAATAAAATAAAAAGATTGACAGAATACCTGAATGAATTATTTGAAGACGATAGAAACAACTTAACTCAGATAATCAATGCAACTGGGCCAGACATATTGAAAGAAGAAGTAGAATACGCAATAAGAAACGCTAAAGATGGAAAAGCAAATGGACCTGATAAAATTCCTACAGATCTGTTAAAGCTTTGGAATGATAAATCCGTAACCATAATATTACATATATTCAATACAATATACAGTACTGCTATAATACCTCAAGAATGGTTGCTGTCTACGTTTGTCACCATACCGAAGAAAACTAAGGCAATGCAATGTTCAGGTCATCGAACAATCTCTTTGATGAGTCACCTGCTTAAAATATTTCTTAGAGTCATCCACAACCGAATCTATCAAAAGTTAGATATCGATATTAACGATACACAGATGGGATTCAGAAAAGGATTAGGTACAAGAGAAGCTCTCTTTGCCTTAAATGTCCTAATACAGGGATGTATAGATGTTAACCAAGAGGTGCATGCCTGCTTTATAGACTTTGAAAAGACCTTTGACAAAGTACGCCACAATCAACTCAAAGAAATGGAAGGTAAAAACATCGACACCAGAGACATACAAATAATATTAAATCTCTACTGGAATCAACGAGCTAATATAAAGATAGAAGACCAAACATCAGACGAAATAGAAATACGTAGAGGAATACGATAGTCTTGTATATTGTCACTGCTTTTTTTTAATATCTACCGCGAACAAATAAGCCATGAAGCTTTCTCACATTTAAATGAAGGGATAACAGTCAATAAGCAAATACAAATACTTGGGAACCCTCATTAATGAAACAGGTGACCAAAATCACGAGATAAAAAGACGTATTGAAGTTGCCAGCTCTACCTTTATAAAAATAAAAAAAAATATTTTGTAATCGTGTATTATGTAAAATGCTGTGTATTCAGTACTTTGCTTTACGGTGTTGAATCATGGACTCTTAAACATAATAAAAATCTTGAAAGCTTTGAGATGTAGTGCTACCGCCGTATACTAAAAATAAGTTGGGTGGATAAAATTACAAATGAAGAGGTAATACGCAGAATAAATAACGATCCAGAAGTTATTATGAATACTACTACTATGAATAAACTTGTATACTAAGGCCACCTGATGAGAGGACAAAAGTACACGTTCCTATAAATATAATGCAAATGCAGGCCGTAGAAAAATGTCCTGGATGAGAAACTCAAGGGAGTGGTTTGGCTGTACCACTAACGAATTATTCAAAACAGCAGTTAATAAAATTAGAATCGCCAAAGAAGGAGAAGCCATATGATAGATTTTGATCTTTGAGCTATTTTTTAACTACTGTCAAAATTTTAAACAAATCGATAAATATAAAAAATTCAAAGGTTTTTTACTATTTTTATCGTCATATACTAGACTATTATTAAAAACTAAATTAATGCTATTACTATTTTAGCCCCCATGGGTACAATCTTCCTTTAGAATATACCAAATTAGCTGCCGAATGTAGCAGAGGTAGGCCACATAGTGGGAAAGATGATATAGGAAAATACTTTGAAGACAGGCCTATTTGGATCTGCAAACCAGTCGCTCAAAGTCAAGGTCGAGGAATTTTTTTATTCAGGGTAAATATTGTACATTATTAAGTTTAGTAGCTCTATTTTACATCTTTACAAATTTACATCTTAGCAAGTTTGCTGTTATAGCCATGTATTTTGTCTTTTTCGGAAAAATCAACATGTTAAATTTTTTGTTCAAATCAAATCAAATCGGTGCAAAGACATTATAAATCATCTTCACTTTGAGAGAGTAGTGTTGCGTCATTTGCATAGTAGATTATTTTAAAGTATCTTTCTCACATTTGGTATCATTTTTTAATTCTTACTTTCTTTATTATTTTATCCATGATCAGGTTAAACAATAGATGACTTAGGGAATCTTCAATTGGGTCACTTAGTTCTTCTACTTTTACTTTTATTGTTTTGTTTTGGTTGAAATTTTTAATCTTTTTGATTATTCCTAGGGACATCTCTCTTGCTTACAATAAGTGGATAACGTTTTTTAATTGTACTCTGTCAGATGCCTTCTTAAGATTTACGAAACATAGATATGCTGATTTGTTGTATTCTAATGATTTCTCTTGCACTTGCCTCATTGTAAATATAGCGTTGGTGAATGATCTTTCCGATTTAAAATATTGTTCTTTTTCTTCTTCTTCTCATGACGCCGTCTCCTTTCGAAGGTTGGCGATCCAAATGGCAATTATGGTTTTGGAAACTGCTGCGTGAAAGATTTCTGCAGATGTGCGATCCAACCATCTCCTCAGGTCTTTTAGTAATTCTTTTTGTTTACACATTCGACGAAGTGTCTCATCATTAGTAACTCTTTGTACCCATGGAATTCTCAACATTTGTCTGTATATATACATCTCAAAGGCATCTATTCTTTTTTCTATTTCAGAGTCCATTGTCCAACTTTCACAGCCATACAAACTTCTAAGGCTGCAGACTTAAGTCTGATCTTGTAAAAAAAGTTCTTCTACTGGTGTTATAATTTTATTTCGTTTATTTGTTATGACTTTGGTTGTTAATTTTAGTAATATGTTTAATAAATTAATATCTCTATAATTCTTCTAATTATTACTTCTTATTCAAGAGAGGTATTCGGATGCTTGATCTCCATTCTTATGGGGTTCTACTACTTCTAAGAAAGCCATCTACTTTTTCTATGGTGTCAACTGTCAAGTGTGCTGGTGTTGCTCTGTATGATCGGCTTTTTACCAGGATTTTAGTCTTTTTTATATTCATTGACAGACCTATTTGTTTAGAATGTTATTTAAGTTTCATGTACGTACTCTCGCCTGTTGAGTTGGTCATGTTTATGATATTTGTATTTTATGAATTTGCTGCCAGGCGGACTTGATGTATTGATAAGTGTGTTGTTTCTAACTTCTAATGTTAAATTATACAGTAAAAATCACCCTGCTTTTATCCTTGTATCATTTGAAATGGGTCTCATCTCACGTTGTATCTGTATCTGAGCCATTGTGTCCGCCATCGCCATTCGAATGAGCCAATCTAATTTTTTGAGGTATTTTAAATTCACTTAATATTTTGTATAAATGTGCTCTGACTATTATGTGCTTGTTTAAGGTCGACAAAAATATCATAGACATCTATGTCATTTTCCCAGGCTTTGCTTAAGACATGCTTTACCGTAAATATCTGGTTAATAATTCATCTTCTTTGCCTAAAGCCTGACTGCCATTCTCCGATGATCTCGTCTGTGAGGGGTTGTAGTCTGTGGTGAAGTACACATACTGCCAAATATTTTATATTCACAACACAGCAAGGAGATTCCCTTATAGTTTTGATAGAGGACTTTATCGCCCTTTTTATGGATTGGGCAGATGATACTCTTATTCCACTCTTTTGACACTCTATTATAACATTTTTTTAGACGCCTTAACACCTCAGGATTGGTGACTCTCTGTATACATAAATCATATCCATAAATATATATAGTATCCATAAAATGAGCAATATTCTACGGTGCAACTAAAAAGTTTGTATTTTCTTACTGTCGTTCTTCTTTAGTGTCCACGATTTCATACCTAGTACAGCACTGATAGTAATAACATAATACATTATTCTTGTTTCCTTTTGATAAATTTACTCCAGGTCTGTTATGTTATAATCTTTATTTGTTAAGAAACTTTTATTTTCGTTGAAAAGAAAAAAATAAAAACTATAATTATTTTGTTACTCCCTGAATCGGCTGGTTATGTATGGATATATTTATAATATTCCGAGATGATTATGTTATACACATAAATTTCGTTTTATATGTTCAGAGAGAGAAAATACTCTTTAGTAGCTTCCTCAATTACATTAACAAGCGCCTTTAGGTCTTGAAATTAGTCGGCTATCAGTAAGTCTTCATATGTCGGATTGGTAATTGGGATTCTGTTAAATTTCACATTACACTGAAAAATCCCTCTATTTATTTCTATATCTTTCATTTTCTTTAAAGCTATTTGTAGGCACCTATTTGCCCATAATAGAGATTGAAAATAATGTTAATATATCTCTTATCTAGATAACAAGATGTTTTTCAATAACAATTGGAGCGTTTGTTTGAAAAACAACACTTGTCCAAATATCAAAATTTTGGCAAATCAAGAAAAACTGCCGAGCTTGAATTTATTTCAAATCTTACTTTTACTAAGATATTTATTGAAAGAAATGTGGATATTAAAATAATTAGTTTATTTCATAATTATATTGATATTTTACACCAAAATTGGTAGAAAAATATATTGGAGAATGAACATATTGTATAATATCCTTGTGGAAATAACAAAAAATTATATGATGTCTATCTGATACTTCTCAGATATTCGGTACATTCTTGCTGGTTTTAATGAAATTTTTGGTTTTGGATTCTTTAAAATTAAATTATTAAAACTTTCGTTCCAGTCATTTTCTTTCTCAGAATAAGAGAGTCGTCCCATTCGTTTGTAACATCACCAACTACTTCTTTGCACGAGAAATGAGACTAAGATGAATGTCCTCGTATTGGGTATACGTGTGTTACCTCTGATGCTTATTTCAGTACATGCAATAGGATATATGAAAAACGGATAAACAAATACGGATAAACGAATAAACGGATAAACGGATAATGTAGTTTTTGTCCTGACCCGGGCAACCATAAAAGAAAAACCGTATTTCATTCATTTCACCGAGTATATGATCTTTTAGATAATGAAATATCATGGATGCTAGGTAATTTTAATCACGTTTAGGAATTACTTCATAAAAGGTATACATATAGACATCATTGCCTCTGATGTAGTGTACACTAAATAGATAGTACCAAAGTTGTCTGCTGTCGAAAACTTTATTTGTGGTCAAATTGGGTAGCAAAAGATTTTGCATAAAGTCGACGGCTAGTGCAGATACAGTATTACTATGCTGATATTTATGCTTAATTTTTCGTTTTATATTATAAAATGCCTTTCCTTTAGCGTGATAAAGGTTTCACACTTAAATCAGTTCCTTTTTTGCTTATTCGTCGATATTCAGTAGTTTAAGTTGGGTTTCAATTTTACCACATAATATACAAGTGTCACATTTAGATTGAAAAAGATATTTTCAATAGAGTTAGAGATATGTTATAATAAATAAAGTAAGAAACCTTGAACTGTGGGTGAAGTTCTTTAAAGGCTTTGTACATATTTTTTACATTTAACTCTGGTGGCAGATAAATTTTCTTTTTGTCCGGTCTCCGTGTTTAATGACTTTGCCGGCATCTGTGTGAAGAAATGTGAGCAATTATGTTTTCTATATCAGCAGGTTTGTCTTCTTAGGCCTATGTATATGCTTGCCAGGGACATCTTCTAGAGAACATCCACTCATTGCTAAGCTATTTCTAATTCGACGGATCTGCATTTCAGTATCTTTAATGGGACAAGGGTGCGAAGAATCTCCGGGTGGAGAAACAAATTTAGTGTAAGCGATTTAAAACGCATAGCAACGTGGAATATAAGAACACTTTATGAAGCAGGAAAATTAACAACAGTCATGTTAGAAATGGAGAGATTAGACATACAAGTATTGGGCCTTTCAGAAGTCCGATGGCCAAAGTCTGGAAACTACACCAAGGATAATAATACTATTTTCTACTCAGGCAAAAGCACTGGAGAACACAGCTATGGTGTTGGTATTATTATCAACAATAACTTAAAAGAGTTTGTGACAAATTTCATTCCCTTTAACGAACGTATGATGCTACTTCAGCTGAAAGCCAAACCTCTAAACATAAATCTAATCCAAGTGTATGCTCCAACATCTGATAGCAATGATGCTGAGGTCGAAAAATTCTACGCGGACTTAGAACTGTTAACAAAAAACATAAAGAAGCAGGAGGTAAAAATAATTATGGGCGACTTTAATGCTAAAGTCGGTCGAGGAAAAACTGGAAATATAGTAGAAAATTTTGGGTTAGGTAAAAGAAACGAAAGAGGAGACAGACTAGTTCAGTACTGCCAGGAGAAAGAATTAGTCATAACAAATACATACTACGACCTACCCCTACGAAGATTATACACGTGGACTTCTCCAAAAGATAACACCAACAATATAATCAGAAACCAAATAGATTTTATAACGATTAACAAAAGGTTTCGTAATGGAGTACAAAGTGCAAAAACCTATCCAAGCGCAGATGCAGATACGGATCATAATCTATTACTAGCAAACGTCAACATTAAACTCAGGAAACCGGAGAAAAAAGTTAAAACCACCAAAATTAACATCAAAAACCTAAAAGACGACAACTGCCAAAAGCAACTAAATGCAGAGATAAATAAATTAACTGAAGGAAGCGTTGAATGGGCAGATATGAAAAAAGCCATACTAAAAGCGGGAAAGGGGGTCCTAGGCGAAGAAGAGAAAATAACTAAAAAGGACTGGATGACACCGGAAATAGTTGAGCTAATAACTGAAAAAAGAAAATACAAAAATAAAGATGAAAATAAATATAAAACCATCAAGAATAAAATCAAATATGAAATCAGAAAGGCTAAGGAGGAATGGATGAACAAAGAATGCCAGGAATTGGAAGAACTCAGCAACAAACATGACACCTCAAACTTACATAAAAAAATTAAAGAACTTACAGGCAACACCAGACAAAGAAAAACACTCATAACAAGAGATAATAATGGAGAAATACTTACTGAAGAGAGCAAAATAAAGGAAGTATGGGAACAATATATAGTTCATCTTTTCCATGACGAGGGAGAAAATGAACAAGATATAGGTGAAGAAAAACAATACCTACAAATTTTACCCCCAGAAGTAAAGAATGCCCTACAGAATGCAAAACAAGGAAAAGCACCGGGTCCTGATCAAATTCCAGTTGAACTGTTAAAAGCCTTAGATGACGGTAATATAAAGAGACTCACCCGAATTCTCAACCACATATATGTAGAGGGCAACATCCCGGAAGAATGGCTTAAATCGATATTTTTACCTCTACCAAAAAACAACAATCCCAAATCATGTAATGACTATAGATTGATAAGCCTAATGTGCCACCCTTTAAAGATTCTTCTGAAAATTGTTCAAAACCGAATTTATAAGAAATGTGAGGAACAGATAGATGAAACTCAGTTTGGCTTCAGAGGAGGCATGGGTACAAGAGAGGCATTATTTGCGTTGACGGTACTCTTGCAGAAATGTCGGGAATATAACAAGAGTACATATGTGTGCTTCATAGACTTTAGGAAGGCCTTTGACCGAGTGCAGCATATGAAGTTAATAGATGAATTAAAAAACATCAATTTAGACAAAAAAGACATTGAGTTTATTAAGGCTATATACTGGAACCAGAAAGCAGTAGTAAAGGTGAACGATATAGAAACAAATAATATACCGATTGCGAGAAGGGTTAGGCAAGGATGCGTCTTGTCTCCGACGCTTTTCAACGTGTACTCACAGGTCATATTCAGAAAAGCCTTATGGGAAAGAAAAGAGGGAATAAGAATTGGTGGAGAAATCATAAACACCATGAGATTTGCAGATGACACGGTAATTATGGCTGAGAGTATAGAAGATCTACAAACTTTACTAGATGCAATAAATAGTGAATGCATTCAAATGGGACTTGACATCAACACAGATAAGACCAAATTTATGATAGTATCAAGGAGTCCAATAAATAATGAACAACTAACTCTTGGTGGTCAGCAAATAGAGAAAGTGACAAAATATAAATATCTGGGAGCTTATATCAACACAGAATTAGATCCAGACCAAGAGATCCGGGTACGAATAGAAATGGCAAGGGCAGCGTTCTTAAAATTCAAACAATTGTTCTGTGACAAAAATCTGAATATTGCGCTGAGACTGAGGTTTGTTGAATGTTACGTCTGGTCGCAATTATTGTACGGGGTAGAAACATGGACACTAAAAGCGCAAATAGTTAAAAAGATTGAAGCCTTTGAACTTTGGATATACCGGAGAATGTTGAGAATGAAAATCATAAGTCCGATCCTTTTAAAATAGGCAGAGGAGTCCGACAAGGATGTATTCTATCTCCAAGTCTTTTTAATTTCTATGGGGAATATATAATGAGAAAAGCACTCGACAAATGGAATGGCGGTATTTCTATAGCAGGAAAAAAGATCTCAAATCTCAGATATGCAGATGATACAACATTAATAACTGCATCCGAAGAAGAAATGTCCAGCCTGCTGCAGCTAGTGGAAGTCGAAAGCAATAGATGTGGTCTCAAGATCAATAAACAAAAAACAAAAATTATGATAGTAGACTATTCAAATTCACTTCAGACAACAGGAGCCTTGGACCAGTTTGAAGTGGTTAACGAGTTCAATTATCTAGGATCCTACATCAATAATACAGGATCTTGTGAAACAGAAATACGTAGGAGAATAGGCATGGCTAAAAACGCTATGAGTCGATTATCAAAAATCTGGAAAGATCGCGCCTTGTCAAAGAACACCAAAATAAGATTAGTACGTGCATTAATTTTTCCCATATTTAGTTACGGATCCGAAACATGGACAATCAAATCGGACGACAGAAAAAGGATTGACGCTTTTGAAATGTGGTGCTGGAGAAGAATGCTTCGGATCTCATGGACGGAACACAGAACAAATCACTCAATCCTCCAAGAGCTTAATATTCAGACTCGACTTTCGTCTATTTGCCTCTCCACCGTCTTAAAATTTTTCGGCCATATTGCAAGAAGAAGTGATGATAATCTTGAGAGACTTATAATTTCGGGAAACGTTGAAGGGCGCAGAAGTAGAGGTCGCTCACCTATTCGATGGACGGATCAGGTACAGAAAGCCAGTGGAAAAACATTTTCAGAATCCATGAGGGAAGCTCAGGACAGAAGCCGATGGAAAGAGATAGTGGCTCGTATTATAGGGAATCACGACACTCAGCAATGAGGAAACGACTGAGGAGGAGTTGAGAATCCCATGGACTGCCACGGTCACCAATGAGGAAGTGCTGAGAAGAATGGGTCGAGTCAAAAAATTGTTGAGAACGATAAAAGTACGCAAGACTGCATACCTTGGACACATACTAAGAAATAATAAATATAGTCTTCTGCAGGTCATCATGCAGGGTAGAGTCGATGGCAAAAAGGGAATAGGTAGAAAGAGGAAGTCATGGCTGCGAAATATTCGAGACTGGACAAACATGACTGTAGACTGTAGACGAATTATTCCACGTTGCAAAAGACAGAGAAGCTTTTAAAAATATGGTCGCCAACCTCCGTTAATGGGGACGGCATAGGAAGAAGAAGAAGCATTTCAGTAATACCGAAAATACTACGAAGAGCTTTGGCACAAATACTTATGTCTTTTCCCGGTATCTAGTCGAATTTTATTTATAAAAGAAGCTACATATGGTGGACCTTGTTGGATACGACTGCGTCGTCTCTGGAAAGGAGTAACGCTAATGAGGCTTGATAAATATGAATCCTGTTAATCTTTGGTCTTCATATTATTAAACATATTCAATAAGTCAGAACGTTGTTCCTGTGTTATTACCTAGAAACATCGATAAAGTTTACACCTACAACCAAAATTTAAGTCATAGGCATTGGGAAGACAACTTGTTATTATCGAAAAACTTACCTGCCGTCATTTCCTGCTGTTCTGATTAAAACATTCTTGTCACCTTTATGCGTTTTGGGAGCAACTTCATTTTAGCTTGCTTTATGGTTTGCCTTCGATAAACTTTTTTTTTCCATTTTCGTTGATGATCTGTGGTTCGAATTTTTACAAATGATATCATCTATAATATTAGAGGTATTGTGTTGTGTTGCATTGTGTTAATAACATCACCTATTATTAACAAAGAATGCAAACAACTGATACATTTATAGACAAGATCACTCACGCTTAGCGATGACCGTTGACTAAGATAGGACAAGTGTCGCTTTTATAACAAATAGCATGGATATCTGTTGTTTTTCTAAAACTATCCGAATTTTATATGTAGTTTACTCTGGACATCTGGGATTTTTACACAACTAAATATGTGAGATTGATAAAGAAACTACTATTCTATACGAACAATATATAAAGTCAAATTTGCAAAATTTGACATGTCTTGTTTTTCAAATAAACGCTTTATGATTATGGAGAACTTTATTAGCTGCTTTATTAGGCTCAATAAATTATACATTGCGGTTAGTTAAAGATAGTAAAGAATCTATACTCAACCACTCGTAGAGTACAAATATACGCATTTGTTCATCAATTTTTTTTTCTTGGCGGTTCGTATGAAACTAGGCAGACATTGTTAAATGCACAACAGAAATACATTATTTCAATTAAGACGAACTCTCAAAAAAATAATTTATTATTACAAAATACCGGTCATCTACCGGTCAAAATTCGAATCTCTTTTTCTATAAGTTATATAGAAAAAGAGATTAGATACTTATAAATGTTACTTTAAATTAATAAGAAACAAACTAAAATTGTAATTTTTTTATTTTTAGAAATTAAGCGAGCTTAACTACGACACAAATACGATAGTTCAAAGGTATATTGAAAAGCCTTTACTAATAGGAGGGTACAAATTCGACTTACGACTCTACGTATGCATTCCATCATACCACCCTGTAACTATTTACATGTACAGAGAGGGTCTTGCCAGATTTGGCACCGATAAATTTAGCTTAAATGATTTACGAAACCCTTTTAGGCATTTGACGAATTCGTCGATTAACAAATTAGGACCTGGCTACACGGAAATGAAGGATCGAGTAGGATCAGGTAAATATTAAAATTAAATTAAGAGGTATTTATTTACTCAACAAAATTTTTTAAGGTTGTAAATGGACACTACGACAATTACGAAGATATTTTCAACAGGCCGGCATTTCAGACTGGTTGTTATGGCAACGAATAACTTCATTAGTAATCCTAACGGTACTAAGTCATGTTAGTCAGATTCCTCCCACTGTAAATTGTTTCGAATTTTTTGGATTTGATGTCTTGATCGACAGCTCTCTAAGACCCTGGCTACTTGAAGTTAGTACCCTTTATTAAATCTAAAGCCTAGTATTAATATAAAAGTATACATGTTAAAAATTTATTTTTATGAGCATTCACCATTAAATAAAAGCCAATAGGAATAGAATTAAAATTAAACAGTTTAAAATTATTATATTATAATTTAAAGTTTATTTTATGTCACAGTTTTGTCATATAATTTTTATAACTTCTTTTCGTATTCTTCTCGTGAATGCATAGTTTTTGAATATTCTACCTTTGTACTTTTTAAGTTTTGGTTTACATCCAACCATCCAACTTAATCTGCGCCACGTCTCTCTTTTGTTTTCTCAATTTTGATTCATTCACTTTTAATATTTATTCTTTCTCTTCTAAACTTTTGTGAAAGTTAACCTCGACAACAAACGTCAAGAAAAAAGTCGGTTCAAAATAGATGAAGTAGTATCAACTTTGTCTTTTATTTCTCTACCTAGTTGACCCATAATTGAACCCACCACTCATCTGAGTGATCCTTATTTATATTGGATAGACGGTCGTACTCCTTTTTGCGATATATATATATATATATATATATATATATATATATATATATATATATATATATATATATATATATATATATATATTCTATGTTCTGTATGGTGCCACAACTGCATTTGTTGTCCATTACGTGTCCAAAACCCCACTTTATTTGGTTTGTTCTCACTAGTACCACGCCAGTTTTTATTTGGTTTAGTGCTCTTCATAATGGTCAATTAAGTTTGTGCCACTGAGTATCTTTTCGATGGGTGGGTAGTTGGCAGATCCAGATCCACGACCAGGTCAAAGAATTTGGTACAGGATTTTATTTTTTTAGATAGATTTCGTCTTTGAGGAGAGTGTCTCTTCTTCTTCTTGATGTGCCTATCCGTTACGAATGTTGGCGATCATCATAGCAATCTTTATCTTTTCTGCAGCAGCCTGAAAAAGCTGCATAGATGTTATATTGAACCAGATGAGAGAGTGGCGTTCATCAATTGTCGGCTTGGTCCAATTCATGATTTGGTATGCGTTTTTGCGGCATTTAGGGCTTGTTAAACCGGTGGCTCAATATATTTCTTTTGTTGGAGTTGGCTTCTTAAAGGCTAATGTTAGTCTGCATGTTTTGTCTGCAGTGGTTCTCAACATGGCTGGACTACCAACGCACCTGCTATTGGCGAGTTTTCTAGAAGTATAATTTTTGGATACCACTTTCTGATCCCTTTTTTTATAATAGTAATAGAATCGTTGATATGTAGAGTCTCTCGTTTGTTTGGCGTATGTGAGAATGAATGGAGCTTACTTGGATCTTGTATGGGTTCAGTTTAAATGAGTTCCTTTGGTAATAGTTAAGCATGGTGTCAGGAGCCTATTCCAGTTTGTCATCTACTTTCTCTACAGTTACCACTTGCGTAGTGATCGCGAAGAAATTAGCATACAGAAAGGCTTCTGTAGATTCTTGTCTTGGTTTGTCGTTTGTGTATATATTAAAAGAGATGCAAGCCATAACTCTAATCTAAACAGTATCATTATTTTGTCTTCTTTATTATTTTTTCTTCTTCAACGTATCATAGAATCGACTATTTTGTAGAAAAAAATCGATAATTTTTGCTTGGTGGTAATCTTATAGCTTACCTTATAGGTTTGTAGCAGCCTTCTGTGAATTGCAAGATTATAGTCGGATCTTAGGTTTGCCAGCTTGTTGTGGTTTGGGATTCTGATCTATTATGTCTTTAATTGGAGTCTGGGTCCTTATCCGGCATTAATTTCAATATTATTTTAGCTTTTCTTTAGAAGATGTTGAGATCCTGTAAATGTCCCGTCTTTTGTTAACAAGCTCTAAGGTTAGGTTTTTAATAACAGGTTTCAAGTTCGTTATTTGTTCTATACAGATATTATCCTCACGGCCTTGCCCTTCTTCGATGAATGGATTATTATTTGTAAAAGGGGGCTCTAGTCAATTTATTCTAGATTAAAGGCTTCTTATTATTTTTGTTTAGTTAATGACCTACTTGATATAGTGTTACTTTATGCTGCTTAGTTTCAGGAAAAATCCATTTTATTCCTATGTATTATATCCATGATGTTCAATGTATGAGTTGACAATATGTCCTGACTATTTCTATAAGTACTGTCCACACGCTATTGTTTTTTTTTAGATGAAGTTTCATTATATAGTTTTTCGTATTTAACCAGGATGGTTTTTGATTTCTCAGAAAAGCCTACTATGAAATACTCACTTACTTACTTACTTACAGTCAAATCTTTGACTGTGTTCCCAAAACTCCGGGCTTGTCTGTTCTCTTGACTATTTCTACAAAGTTGTCGTAGGTTGCTGGTGTAGGCTCAGATTAGTAATGGGTTTGTCTATCTTTTTTGCGAAATTATTTAACTTGACCCTTTTGAAGTTAAATTAGATATCTACGATCTCTACGAATTGGAATTTTAGTTCATCTTATTGCTGCGTTCACCTGTATGCCTGAGTTTATAGAGGATATTTGCCATTGATTCATAGACTATTTTAATGCAGCAGTCTTAAATGTTCACGACTATGAAGCAATTATCTAGGTTATAGCTTCACCTCCAGATTTTTCTGAAAAGAAAGCAGCATTAGTCCAACATAATCAGTTTAAATCGTATAATCTATAACTTATTAAATTAATATATTTCTCCATTATTAATCTTTTTCTATTATGAAAATTGTAGTTTTGTTTGCATATTATCATTATATTATATTTATTGTGATATAAATTCATTTTTCCTTAACTAAATAAATATTTTCGTTCTATGTTTTAAGGTCAATTTAAGTCCTGCTTTGAGCAACGATTGTGATGCTGATAGATTAGTTAAAAAACCAATGCTGCATGATATGTTTGATCTCTTGGGTTTACCATTATACAACACTGGTTTAGCAATCTTCGACATTTTTTCCGAGGAAGCTAATGATAGTAAGTAAGTAAAGAAAGTAAATATTATCACTAAAATGTGAGTATTATTGTTTTTATATTATAGGGAAGATCAAGAAAACTCCAAGTTGTCGCTAATGAATACTTTATCGGTGGTAAATGCAGCGGGAAGATGGAGAAGGAAACAAAAGAAAATGTCAGCAATTCATTCTAGGTCCAATTCTGCCGTACGAATCAAAAGTAGGGCTACATCTGCCAACAATTTTCAAAGTAATTATTTTATTTTAATCTACTGCATAAGTCTGCCTCTACTTACAAAAAAAATTAAGTTGTATTTTGATAGAAAATTAACAGTACTCGTATGTCCACTAATTTCAATTTGAAAATACAATCCATCCCTCCTTTTCTGGTGATCAAATTAATATTATCATTATAATCCATAGTTAACTTTACAATTTCGTGATTTTTTCCATTGTATTTTTTTATGACTATTAAATACAGAATACTGTACGTCCGTAATCCGGAATTAACCAAGGGAGAATACACTGATTTATTTCAGACTAAAATTGGACGAAAACGAGAATAAATACTTATTTTTCTTTAGTATATCTTAATCATTTAAAATATCTAAATTAAAATGCTATATATTAAACTATATATTTAACTGTATAAGATGACTTCGTGATGGGTAGCTCAGCAAACTCAATAAAAGTCAAATTTAATTACCTAAAATAAAAATATATTTGGGACAAATAAATGAGATAAGAGAAATCAAACGCAATCCTACGGCGACGGCATCGATGTACGAGTCGGTGATCCACTATTAAATCTTCTTCTTATGATGCCCTATCCAATTAGTGGATATTGGCGACAAGTTTGGCATTCTCTTCTCGATCTTGTGTGGCTCTAAAGAGTGCATGGGCATCAAGGTTTGTCCAATCCCTTCTGTTTTTAAGCCATGAGTATTTCTTCCTTCCGATGCCCTGTTTTCATTCTATCTTCCCTTCCATAATAATCTTTAAGAACTGGTACTTGGAATTTCGAAATATATGACCCAGATAAGCAGTTTTTCTTCTTTTTGTTATTGGCAGCTATTCTCGTTCTTCCCGTTCGATTTAATACTTCGACATTTGTTGTTTGATCTGCCCAGGGAATTTTAGGTAGTCTTCTAAATACCCAAATTTCAAAGGCCTTCAATCGGTTCATCACATTGGCCTTTATAGTCCAGGTTTCTACACCATATAGCAGTATGGAGTAAATATAACATTTTACAAAGTGATATCGAAGCGTTAAGTTAAAGCTGCTGTTGCTTAGCAAGGTTCTCATATTAGTAACTGCTGTTCTGGCTTGCTCAATCCTGCTACGTGTCTCTATGTTTGGATCTAGATCTTTAGTTATCCAACTACCGAAATATCTAAACTTGGAGACCTTTTGGATGTTTCTATTGTTTACTCTTATATTTAGTTGCATATTTCGTGTTCTACTAACCACCATTACCTTCGTCTTGTCTATATTAATTTTTAAGCCCAATCGTTTTCATTCAGTGTTTATTCTATCTATTAGTCGTTTTAGCGCTTCTTAGCTGTCAGCTATTATGACTGTATCATCAGCATAGATAAGATTACTAGTAGTCTGTCCGTTGATTTGATTTAGTGTCACTTAAGGCTCTATCGAAAATCGTTTTAGAGTAAAGATTTAAAGGGAGGGATAACAGAACACACCCTATCGTACACCTTTACTAATTAGTTTATTGACCTTCACAATACTGTTAAAACTGCGAGGTTTTGTATGACCTGTCACTTCTTTAACGAGCTTATGTATCTTAAACGGGTCATGTTTTTCTTTCAATTCCTTCATTTTTGCACACCTGTCTAGCAGCCACTGTTCTTTAGCTTTGCAACACTCTTTTAGTATTTGTCGGTTAATCTGCTGATGTTTGGTTCGATCTTTGTTTTTAAATGGTCTGCGGTCGTCCATCATTGATAATATTTCGTCAGTCATCCAATTCTTCGTTTTGTACTTTTGGGAAGGGATCAGAGACTTGGTGGTGGTTACGATAGTTAGTTTTAATACAATTCCATTTGTCTTCTATACTGGCCGGTTGTTTAGATTTTGTTGTGATGTCCAGTATTGCCTCATTTAATTTTTCTATGACTTTTAGTTTAACGTTAGGTTTTTAAGCTATTTATATCAATTTTCTTTATGGATTTTCTTTAAATTTTCTTAAGCTTAATTTTTAATTTTCCATCTACGGGATTGTGATCAGATCCGATATCTGTTCCAGGGTACGTTTTTACTCCTTGCAATCCATTTCTGTATCTCTGATTAATCAATTAAAAATCAATTTGATTTCTTACGATGTTGTCATGCGTATGTTATGGAGACTGCCATGTGTAGAGTCTCCGAGGTGGCAGTCTGTACTAGGTATTCGCAATGTCTAATTTTTATTCCTATCAGAACTGGATTAGTATATAATCTCTCCCGTTTCAATCTCTCAAACTTGGCTTGGACTTTCAGTAGTGCTGCCCTATCTGAGTATGCCACCAGTTCCTTACTGATTTGTTTGAGGCTGTGATAACTAGAAATCCAACTCCGTTATAATTATGGGGTAGGTTATTTCCTAAGTAATATAGTGTCGCTTTTTCTTTAGTACATTTACCACTGTTAGGCTATCTGATTTTGCCAAGTCCTATAATGTTTAGGTAGATAGGTAGGTTCCATTTCTTGTATTATATTGTCTAGTTTACCGGTGATAAACTAAAGAGAGTTTTAACGTTCCAAGTCCCCAGTTTTAGCTTTGAGGTTTTTCCCTCTTTTGGGTGGTTCCTTGCACTGTTTTTCTTCGCGGAGATTCTTAGCATTCCTTGGCCACTACCTGGACGGTAGCTTGCCACGGAGCTTGCAATGTCTTTTCCATCCTTGTGTTACTTGTGATATCCTTGGGGACCTTGGTGGTTTTCCATTGCCTTCCGTATTCTTATGCCGTTGACATCCTTTGTTCATCTGCCTTTAAGACACAGTTTCCCACCCTAAGGATAAAAGAGTGTCCTGTCTCACGTATGCTCATCCGCCCTCTATCCAGAGACCGTTGACAAGGTAAGTGGAATCGCTCATACCAGCGATCGTTCGGTCAAAGATGACTTTATACTAGCCCTTAAATCTGGGCCACTGCGCCACTTCCGCCATTCTCGTCGTACCGAAGGTATCCTTCTCCGCCGTGATTGCCGTTGTGGTCTTCATCGGTAACCCTGGACAAGGGACCCTAAACAGATACTAGCTACTCGGGTCAGGGACCACCTGGAATCTGTGGAGAGCAGGGACTAATTAATTTTCCCTGATAGGATTGTCCAAGGAAATCGAAGGAGTTCCTACTCACTAACCACCACTATTAAATACCTGCACAAAATAAGACAAAATGTCATAAAATTGAAATGACAATTACTATGTGGTATTACACACACACAGCGAAAAAATTAAGGACGTAGCAGAGCAATTAATATCGAATAGGCCGATTAACGCTGGGTCTGGCGAGGAGCGGAAAGCAATTAATTAACATTTACCTACGGGAAAGAATGAGTGTATCTCAGATCAATACTCCAAGATCAGGTGCAGAAATGCCCCTAGATCAACAATCTAGCAGACGCAGTCGGCCTTCAAATCCTAGGGGCCAGTGGAGTATTTATCAGATCAAGTCTCTGATAAAACTAAATTCTCTCGTGTGTGTGCTTCGTATTTACTCTCTCTGTCTGAGAGAACCCCTGCTTTAGGCGCCTGCCTCTTCAGGGAATGGGATTGTTTTGGGTTTGTTTGGGGTTTTTTTTATTCTACCGTTAATGTCCGGGGTGAAATCGGTTTCAAGGCTGAAAATTGGTTTTGCCAATTGTCTTCGGTGGTTAAGCGAATAAAATTCTCTCGTGTGGCGGCTCCTGTTTTATACGGTCGTTGGCTTTCCATCTATCCCAGCGCGCATCGATGAAAGCGGAACTCGTGGTGGGAGTGCGTGTGTCAATTCAATTAAACCACTTTGTGTAAGCCATTGTCTAGGAATCCGTTTATTAAAATAGAGCCTTACGTTTATGCTATAATACGGAGCACTGTTTAGTTATAAAAGCAAATCCTTTTCTTAGTACCTGTTATCATTTTTGATTATATCGCCCAAATAGGATCATTTGTATCCTCTAATTATTCTAGATATGCTACTTTGTTCAAATTGTGTTGCAAAAAGAATTCCCCAACAATACTATCTACATAAATTCATAACCATAGGTTTAATTTTAATGACTTTTGGTTACATGTTTCGCGAAAAACTTTAGAATTCTCATTAGTCTCACTAGTAAACTCAGATGCTTTGAGAGAAAAATCCTCAGAAAGATCTTCGGTCCCTATCACGATCCGAATACTAACCAATACCGAATGAGAACAAATGCCGAGGTCAAACAAATGTATAGTGCTAGCGACGTAGTCCAAGAGATTAAATCCCAACGTCTAAGATGGGCTGGCCATGTTCATAGGCTCCCTAATAACCGCTTTACCAAGTTAATCTGGAAAGAAGTCCCGACAGGGAGAAGGCCCTTAGGACGTCCACGAATGCGATGGAGAAATAATATATGGTCAGATTTGAGAACAATGGGGCTACCCACTGACTTAAACATCATGGACGACCGTTCGAGATGGAAGCAGGTTGTGCAGTCAGCCAAGACCCCGGGTTGTAGTGCTACCAGAAGAAGAAGAATTGTGTTAATTTACAGTACCATTAAAAAAAAGTATATTTATTATTCTAAAAACAAATAATATTAAATAGAAAGTTTGGTTAGAAAGTGATACTATTTATTTTCTATTATCATAATCAGACAAAATTTTGTGGAGATGAAATTTGTAATGTTTCAGTACTCTGGTGCCAGTAGTGCACGAAAAACCATATTCCTAAGCTATCCTTTACGTACTTGAAGTAAGATCCAAAGTATCACGACCTTATATTGCTACTTCTGTTACTTCAGTCCGAACATGTTTCTCGCACTGCCTTTTTTATCAGCTACTGGTGCCGCTTTATAAATTTTTTAAAGCGATTCATTCAAGTCCCACTTAGTAGGACTATTATTTGGATAGTCGGCTCCACTCACGCTCCGACTTAATATCAAAATAGCGCTCCAATTTCAGTCCTAGTCTGTTTTCTGGATGGTGTACATTGTTCAGCCAAAAAATTTATTGAGTAAAGTCTACGCAAAATATAATCAGGAAAACGAAACAGCAACAGCATTATGCTGTAGCCTCACCATTTGAAAAGACGGAAAAGAATCTTGGATGAAGAAATTATTCGTTGATCGTGTGAAATATTGTGCACGAAGAAGTTGCTTAATGTCATTGATGAGGATTATTACAGGAACTACCCTTTAGGTTGCTTATAGAGCACTAATAGTATCCCACAAACAGAGACTATTTTTGTAAATATCAATAAATTCAGAACTCTCTTCACTGTTTATTACGGAAATTATTGCTTTAATGGGAATAAGCAACAATTCAAGTTTAAAGTAAGTTTATGTTTACTGACTTTTCAATTTATACTTCGGAAATCGTTCTGAAAATACAAACATTAATAAATTATATGAATTTTGTTTTGTGTTACTTCAGCCTTCTAATAAAATTTTTACTGTGATTATTTCCGAGGTTCTAAGTTTCATATGAAATTACTAAGTAATGGAAGCTCCTATATTTACATTAATTATAATCTCAACATATTCTTTAAATTCGGCAACCATATTTGCTGTACTTCTGACTTTTACCATAATACTCTTCTCAGAATAAACTTGTAGATATATTTGCTGTCTTATAAGTCGTATGCATCCCTTAAATCCGGTAAAGTTTGCAAAATTTAAGCACATTTGCATTTAACAAATTGCTTTAATACTTAGGTTTAATACCTTTTTTTAAGAAAATTCCGTTTTAGTTCTTGTTTACTTTCGTTTTATTATTTGTTACCAAGGGGCTGTGAAACTCTGTTATCATCTTGTATCATGGAATGATACCACGTCCTACTTTTACATTAAAAAATAATAGTATTTAGCGATTATTATTATATTACATTATTCATATTGAAATCGTTTTTTTTTTTCAGAGACTTATATAACATTGCCAAAGGTTCACGTAGATGTTCGGCCCGTAGCTTCTCCAATTCATAATGGAACCAATAGAGCAGTAAGTACAGATCAGTCGACTTTAATGAGAATTGTCGAAACTAGTTTTCACCACTTAACCAACTGTCCATTGAAATTCTAGTCAGTTTAGAGATAAGGCACAATTTACCATTACTCATACAGAGAACCAGAGAACTATTAACTGATTTAATTGCACAAAACAAATTTATCTAGGTATTTTATTATCTGATAAAGCCTTCTTAAATAAAAACTGAATTACACTGCGGCAAACGCTGTGAGAATATATACCAAGATATAAAAGTTTTTAAATAATTTGAATACAGGATAAATAGAAAACAGACATGATTCTGACCATGGTACAGAAACATACACTTTAACGCAGAAAAATGAAAGAGTTTTGGAAATATTTGAGCATAACCTACTGCACAAAATATTTAGACCTATTTATAAATGACCAAAAGCTGTGGTGCAAAAGAGATAATTTCGAATTATAACAACTCTTTAATGAACCAGACGTCGTAACGTTGATTAAAATATAGCGACTAAGATGAGCTAGACAGATAATAGATAATAAATACAGTCAACTTGATTGCTAAAAAATTAACCACAGGAACATCTGTACGAAGAAGCAGATGGTTAGACGGAGTTGAAACCGACTTAAGGATACTAAAAACCAGAAGATGGCAGCAGGTCACCAGAAACCGAACAGAATGGCGACGAATCTTAGAGCTGGCCAGTATACACAAAGGATTGTCGAGCCAAAGATAATGATGAATAATAGAAAAATTAATTATGTGCGATGAAAAATGCAACAGCCTGTTGCAAAGAAAGGAAAATATAACATATACAACACTAGTTAACGATAAGTCTAAGATAAGACTATTATGATTGATAAAATCGTACCATTTTTGCACTGACATATGCCAAGTATATTGAAAAACACCGAAATGTAAAAAATAAATTCCAAAATAAAAAATTCCAGTGTACACCCAAAATCTAAAAATTATAAGGAAAATTTGAAAGTTTTTTTTGGCCTTAGGTTCAAGACCTATTTAGCCAGACAATTAACTTCTACACTTCCTATAGATTCATGACAATTTTCTAACCATTCGTCATTCACTCAATTTCCTAATCCTCCCATTACAAACACTATTGGGTGACTATACAAAAAGGATTAAACAGGAACACACGGTTTACGCTGAAGTGCCCTTCATAGAAACTTTTTTTTACACAAACAATACGGACAAGGGTTAAAGGTAAATTAATTAAATTCAAAGTCGTTCTCAATAAATACAGCTTGTACTCTTACTCAATAAAGCAACATGCTCATATTTTTTCTTTTAATATACAAAAATCATCAACAGAACATTTCAATGTGTGTAGTTTAATCATATCTCTCATAAGAAAGTATCTCAGTACAGATAATTCAACTATCGTCACAATTTGTTTTATGATATATTCGTCAGAGCTATCAGAACGTAAAGATGATGTTAAAAAACACGTGGTTAAGCCATGTGTGTGTGTTCAATTTTGTGAGCTCAACCCTCATTTTGTAGCGAGCTTGCAACTTAATCTGATGTATAATTGCTTCCATTGTGTGCGATATCGCCGTGACTTTTACATACACATTGATAAGAGTACAAGTTGCTATAGCTAATCATTATATCCTGTCCACTTTTTTAAGTGCGATGAAGGTAAGCAAACCCAACGTTTATTTTTTAAAATTAATTTGTGATAGATTTTGTCAAAAAGTTATGAAATACTTATTTTACTGATTATTTTAGTTAAAAACAAAGACGCATAATAGCGTGAAGTAGTAAAGACGTTGAGCTAAAGAAGAGAAGAATCACAAAATAACTAACAAATTTTAAAGACAAATGGATAAACTACTTTTTCATGGTATTTTAAACAAAGGCAATATGCTTGATACGCAATAATTCTGTTTCTGTCTTAAAAGAGTATAACATTAAAAAGCATTATGAGACTAAACTTGCAAATAGATTTGATAAGTACGAAGGGCAATTTCCACAAGACCAAGTAAATGTATTAAAAAAAATTCTGCACAACGTCAGATATTTACTAGAGCATCGTATCGTAGATGCATCGTATGTAGAAGCTAGTTATGCAGTGGCCATGATACTAGCAAAAACATTGAAGCGATATTCTGATGGTGAAACAGTTAAGGAAAATGAAGAGTGGCACTGAAATTCTGTGCCCAGAAAAGAAAACGGATTTCTTCAAAAAAAAAGCATGTCTCGACAAATTCTTACTAGGCGTGTCGACGACATCGGAAAACATATTGAAGACAGTTTGAAAAATCGAGCATCTAATTTCATATTTCATACTCTAGCATTGGATAAAAGCACAGAGTCAGTTTTGAGAATTTGGAAAACTGTTTGCGGATAACAACAAAATTAATTGATATCAACATTGATACACTTTCTAAGAAATAAAATCAGATGTTTTGCCGAAATGTATTATATTTTGTTTATAATTTATTATTTTTTTTATGTAACTCTAATATAACAAATGTGTTTGATTCTCACGTTTGTTATATCTTTTTTAAAAACAGTTATTTCATGTTTGCTTTGAATAATAAAAAGAATTGTTGAGCGGCCCGATAGCAAATCTCATCTCTAAAATTTGGCCCGACTGCTGAAAACGTTGGCACGAAAAACAAACATTAACAGTTCAGTCTGCCGCGCTCGTTAAATAACAAAAAAAAAATAGGTTAAGGATAAAGTTGAGCCTTCATTATCATCAATGGTGCTACAGCCCTATGAAAGAGCCTCGACCTTCCCAAGTCTATTACGCCAGGCAGTCCTATCCATTGCCAACCGTTGCCAGTTTGCTGCGCCTATCTTTCTACCATCCCCATCTACATCATCCTTCCATCTGAGTTTTGGCCTACTGTTTTTTCTACTTCCCACGGGTTGTGACATAAGCATTCTTCTAGGAGGGTTGTTCTGCTGTGATCTTGCTAGATGTCCTGCCCATCTTAGTCTTCCTATTGTTATAAGAGATACTACGTCTTTACCACCAAATATTTGTTTATATCTGTGGTATACCTCGTAGTTGTATCTCCTCCTTCAAACACCATTTTCACAGATGCCACCAAATATTCCTCTCAGGATCCTTCGTTCAAATATAAGCAAAATACAACACTGGCTGTATAAGGGTTTTGTATATAGTTATTTTTGTTTTTTGGCTTAAGTTTCTACTTCTCATATGTCTACTTAGTCCAAAATAGCATCTCTTTGCCATTACTATCCTTCGCTTGATTTCTTCTTGGCGTTCTCTTTGGTGATCAGGGAGCCTAAGTATGTGAATTTGTCAACCACTTCAAAGGTAGAGTTATCAACCGTAAATTGGGGACCGATGTTCCTGGATCTATTGTTGGGTGTTGATGCCGTCATCTTAGTTTTCTCCTCATTTACTTGCAGTCCCATAGATTTTGAGGCATTTGAGAAGGTGGTATACATTTCTTCTAGCTTGCGTGTTGTGCGGGCAACTAGGTCCACATCATCTGCATTTGCCAAAATTTGGGATGATTTGTTAAAAATATTTCAGGTGTTCTCTACTCGGGCATCTCTGATCGCCTTTTTCAGTGCTATGTTGAAAAGAAGACACGCCAGCGCGTCTCCCTGTCGCAGCCCAACATGCGTTCCAAACGCCTGTGATTGTTCGCCCTGTATTTCGACTTTACAAACCACATTACGCATTGTAGCCTTAACCAATCTTATCAGTTTATCGGGGATGTGGAATTCATGCATTGCTTTATACAGTTTATTTCTTAGGACACTATCATAGGCAGATTTGAAGTCTATAAAAAGATGGTATGTATCGATATTGAATTCATTGGTTTTTTCCAGTATTTGCCTTAGCACAAAGATCTGATCTGTTGTTGATCGACCAGGCCTAAAGCCACTTTGATATTCCCCGAAAAGTTCCTCTGAATATGTACTTAGGCGACCATATATGATCCTCGAAAATATTTTTTATGCTTAGCAGCATACAAAGTTGAGCCTTATTGTTAAGAAAATTGGGACTGAGAAAGAAGAAACGCGGGTGATTAGAATATAAAAGTAATTAAAACAATGTTAAATTAAGTTTCTCTTAAGATCGTTTTGCTACCACAAAAGGATAAACAAAAAAAAATAATTTTGCATATATATCCCAAAATCACAATAGTAAATATGTATGTAAAATTACGTCCATAAGGAAAAATTTACGAAATTTACGATTCTCGGCAACCGAGGATCACTCGGTTGGCTGTCTGTTGATAATTAAGCATACCACACGCTTAAATGCATTTATCATCTGTAGAGTCAAAATAAATTGGGAAAATCATTGAGGTGAAGTTATTGCAAACATAAAAAAGCTATTGCCATTGTCACACTTCATAGTCGAATCCATTTTTAGTTATCACATAAAAATAAATAATTACAATTCCATAAATAAAATGATATCTTCTTTTTTCTTCTTCAGTCCGTATTCGTACGCTGCTGGACATAGGCCTCTTCCATTTGCTTCAATTGAATTCTACTCTTGGAAATTCTCATCCACTGCTTGCCCGCGACTTGTTTGATATCATCTGCCCAACTCTTCTGTCGTCCGCAAACCTCAAATGACTCAAACGTACACCATCAGTGTTTAGACCTTTTTGCTTCAAGTCGAGTTGTTTAAATACATTTTCCAATGCTAAGGTAAAAAGCTTTGGTGAAATAGTATTTTTTCAGTTTTTTCGTCTTCATTGATTTTGATGTGAAATGTTTCCCCTGTTCATAATTTTTTTTTAATAAGTGTAGTGTACCGTGATTCTATTCGAGCATCCCTCAGGGCTGACAAAAAGGACCAAGTTTCAATACTATCAAAAGCCTTGTGAAATTTAATAAATGTTATATGTAGAGATACATTATATTCTGTGGTTTTTTCTACCAGTGTTCTGATGGTTTGTAAGTGATCGTTAGTACCAAACCCTTTATTAAATCCCGCCTGTTCAACTGGTTGATATAAATCAAGTTATTGTATTATGCGGTTGGTTATTATTCTTGTTAGCAATTTGAATAAATGTGACGACAAACTAATAGGTATGCAGTTTTTAATATTAGTAGTGTCTTTTTTCTTGTGTAAAAGTATTATTTCGGCGTTTTCCCACAACCTTTTTTGTATTTCTTTTCGTCTTTAAAGAGGGGGGGTCTGGAATCTTCAAAAGACATCTTAGTCCAGGACGCCGCCTGACTAACCTTAGTGCAGGATTCGTTCTTCGTACTCCCGACGTTAGTCCCCGAGGTATTTTAATATGTTCTCTCGTCGCCGAGTCTACGCGAAACACCTACCTGCTATACCAGACCCTCCTCTGTCATCCAGCGATTCGGAAGCGGAATGGCCGCTGTAAGGTCGGCATCACTTCCGAAGCACTATCTTTATTCATTCATTCTCCATTCACTCGTTCCAGGTAGCGCGTAGAAGACACTAATCGCTTCTAGTTCGGCATCATTCCCAGACGGGCATTTCCTCCTTCCTCACAATCTGACTTACGTATTCTAACTCATACAAAGTGACTTACTTTTCTAGATTCATCTTTCAGCATCATTCACTCTTACCTTTCCCGTTGGTCCAGCTGTCTTTTTTCCTCTTCCTTTTTCTTGATCACTGCACGGGTACAGCTATGTATGTTAGTCCAACTTAATTTATTTTCAATCATTCTCTCAATCATTTCTCTCACTGTAACAAAATTCACACCTATTTCTTATATATCTTCATTCTGTTCCTTTACACTATTCATCTGCTGCAATCTAACATCGTATGTGTCACAGTGTCCGAGTATCCACAATATTGGCATTCGTCTGTATCAGCCTTTCCGATCCTATAGAAGTAGGCCCTAAAACACCCGTGTCCTGTGAGCACCTGCGTCAAGAAATAATCCAGTCGCCTATGGCCACAGTCCACTAAATCTTTTATGTTCGGGATCAGCATTTTCGTCCACTGTGCCACATCCTCCGTGTTCTTCTTGCCATCTTTCAACTGACCTTTCCCTTTTTTGTCTTCTCTCGGCCACAGTAAGATTTGGGCCTCTTCTCTCATACAGCTCTTTTTTTTTCCACCGCCAAAACATGTATCGGAATACATCCAGTGATGGTCCATAAGGCTGCCGCAGACACAGTCCTGTAGACGCATGCCCCCCGCAACAGACTTGTTCTGTCCACTCGTGTCATGAGACTCCTACTCCTGTTTTCTTACATATTGGGTATTCTTTTTCCTGTTAGACACTTATTCCAAGAGTTTCCGAGCCGACGTTTAGAATTGTTTTATGGTCCGGGGTTCTGTATAGCAGATGTATACAGATTCTCATACAACGTTTATATTTCCTTGATCATTTGAGTTTTTTCGGTCACCGTATTCCGCTGTAGGTTTTTGATTTTAGTTATCTCTGATTTTCCTTTAGTTAAATTTGATTTCAATACTCTTATGTTTCTATGGTTTTCGTTGGTTTGCAATATTTGTTTTGTTTGATAGGCTCGCAAGTCTGACCTTATGCTCTTTTTAACTTTATTGTTGATAGCCTTATACTCTGGTGATTCTTTCGATGTTCTTCTTTATTCTATTAAATCTAGTGTTGGTTGTTTCAATTTTCGAATTCTCGAATTTTTATTTTTACCACAGATCGTTTTGGCATTTGATGTTTCGTCATTCATTAATTTTTGTGTTATTTTATTTATATCTTTAGTGTTGAATAGTGGTAGAGGTCCTAGTCTCTTGTTTAGTTCCTTTTGATATTCCTCTTGATTTATTTCGAATTCTTCTATGTTTGGTCATCTATTCTGTGTTAATAGTTTTCTTCACCCTAACTAATCGATGATTACTACCAGTGTTGACACAATTTAACACAGTAATATATTTAGCAATGTTTTTCAAGTTAGAGAGTATAATGTCAATTTCATTTATTACTTTGCCATCTGTGCTGTGCCACGTCCATTTTCTCTCCATCTTTTTCTTGTAGAATATGAATAAAGCAGAATAGTTTTTTTGTTAAGAAAATTTGCGAGCATATCTTCTTTTCTATTTTTGGCTCTAAAATGATATAGTAGTGTCAACATCAACACAAACGCTCAAAACAACATCTCCCCAACTGCAAAAAAAAAGATATCGATGTGCAACGCTATAGATATATCTGTATCAAATAATATGTATGAAAGTATCAACTAGCACCAGAACTATTTATATTTTTAATTATTTACAGGTCTGTGATGAATATAAAAAATCAGAATGTAAAAATTGGGGAAATGGTCGGGACTGGAACTTTCCAAAACCAAGAGAAGGTGGATGGGTACGAATCTGGCCTTTTGCATTAGAAGTTCAGAACAAAACAAGCAATGGCAATAATAATAGTAACCAGATAAAAAATATGGTCAACAAAGTAAGTTCTTTCGAAAACTTTTTTAAATTTAAAATACAATATAAGATTATTAAGTCTACATATATATATGTCTTCAACACATTTTGGATTTATCACAGATACATCTAGAACAATTATTATCAAGGTTGTGCAATATTTTCTTGTGGCATGTCTAATTTGAATATTATGTTTTTAGGGATTGTCACAATTATTGGTTGTACTAAAAATCTCATTTTTATCTAACTAGTATTTGACGTTCTCACTTCGAATTCGGAAATCGTTCTCAAAAAGAATATTATAAAAATACTGTTTAGCCTTTACTTTAAACAATTTTAAAATCTTTAGCAGTTCTCCTTTAGTTCTTGCCATTAACACCACATCGTCCGCAAATGCCAGGATCTGGCTTCTATTCTCATAAATCATACCATTCGTTCGTATTCCACTCTCTGTCTCTCTCTCTCTCTCTCTCTTTCTTTCTCATTATTCCCTCCAGCAATAAATTATAGATTATTGTGAACATCGGATCTCCCTGCTTTGGACCCCTTCTTACTTTAAATTTTCTTGATAAGCTTCCTTCTATCCTTATTCTATTGTCGGTCTTCGTTAAGGTCATTTTTACTATACTTTTCCGGAATTCCAAGTACTCTAAGGGCATGGTACAGACGCCTTCTTTACAGAATCATAATTACAGAATCGTAAGCTTGTTTGAAATATATAAAGGGAAAGTCTAGCTTTAACTGTTACTCGTATGCACTGCTCTGAATTATTTATAACACGAATCTTTGATCTATGGTGGATCTGCCCTTTTTTAATTCTCCCTGGTATTTACCAATCAGCTCGTTTTAGTGCCTTTCTAAAGTGCCACTTTAGTGCCACTACGTCTTATGACTCTTGTGAGTATGTTACATTCAGAGGAGTGATGCCCCTGTAGTTTTCGCACACTGCTTTATATCCTTTTTTATGAATAGGATGTACTATTGTCTCTCTCCACTTTCGAAATTTTCTTTTGCCCCCAGATTTTCGTCTGCTTCTCCCTTATGCTTAATTAGTTCTGCAGAAATACCATTGCTACCTGCACTTTTTTTTTCATGATTCCTCTTATTTCTTTCACCGTGGGAGTCTCTACTGTTTCCCCGTATCGTTGACTTCCCCTACCATTTTCACTTGCTCATCACCATTTTCATCCGGCTCTTTATTAAATAGCTCTCTATAATGCTCTTGTTATTAATCTGGCTTCCCTGCTTATCTTGTATTAGATGCCCTTCTTTTCACTTTTAATAATTCTTCTTTTGTCACATTTTTATTAATGTAATGTTCAATAATCCTTTGGAGATTTTTATCCATACGCTCATGTTTCTTCCTCCTACACACTTTTCGCGTCTCTTCTCTCTGCTTCATATTCATTTTCATTTACGTTACTTGGCTTGTCCATATATTTTAGTCTTGCCTCATTTCGTTTGCTAGGGCTTTTCTTGAGATCAACATCAAACCATTTTTTATCCGTTCCCTTCTTTACATGACCCAACCGCTTTCAAGCTGCTTCCTTCATAACGTCTTCTATTGTTTTTCACTTTATTTCGACGTCACCTTAATTTTTAATTAATAGAGAAGTTTTTCTTTCCTGTTTACTAAGTACACGAGAATGTCTTCTCGAAAGAGCAGATTTGTCAATTTTAAACTGTGTAGCTGCACTTCTAAGAGATAAAGTGCCATCCTCTATTAGCTTTAGGGCTGTTTCCATGTCCTTTTTGTCGTAGTGGCGCTTTTTGGGAACGTAAACCTTCGGCATTATTTTTAAAGGTATAAAAACTCGTCTTGTTTTTTAACTGGCACGTGTTTCGTTTTTAAACTTGGTGATGTCTCGTTTTTGCACCTGTTATTTACGACGTGCTAGCTTGCCAACGAGTGAAGATAGACTAAACTCGTTACGTTACGGAATATCATAGCCGCATGTGCTATTTTAAGAAATCCGATACTTGTCGAGTCTTTAGCATCTCATACAGCAGCGCAGCAGAAAAAGTTCGTATATACAATTTAAAAGTTTTTTTAAGCAAAATGCACAGTCAGATGCGATAGTTTTTTCTCATGTTTGTGTTTACGGTTATTTATTATTCATTACATATTTCAATTGTATATATGTGGAAGTAATTTGTAACGTATGTTTTATAAGGTTATTGTTTTTTGCATTAAAAAAAATTAAAAGTCTTGTTTTTGACCGACATTTCGGCTCTCTCATTTTTGCACCACTTGACCCTAAATATTTAACATCATTTCTTCATTTTTACATTAAAATACCATTTTTTTTCGTTTTCTGAAACTACAGAGAGTTAGTTTTGAAACTACTTATTATTAATTAAACCTGCCGATATAACCTGCCTTGGCATAACAGAACGAGAATAATATACAAATATTGTAACGTCTAATCATATAAATACCAGGGCGTTAAGCAAAACCATACTGTGGGAAGAAACGACGGGAGAAATTCTTCGATTGTCCCTAAGGATATTCAAGAGGAAAATGCCCACCGTTCCATCCACCAGAATGGTGATCTGCCCGACTGCTCAGCCCTGGGTTCGTTCCCTGTTAATTCTCCATCTACACCAATCCCAGAAAGGTACAAGAAATAAAAATACTTGTTAAGTCATAACAACAGGTATATATTTATTTATAAAATAAAACAAAAACAAAATTTATATTATGAATATAAAAGATAAATAAACTGTGACCCAAAGATTAAGCCGGTTGCCGGTATGCAATAACTAGAATATAATAAAAGTGCTTTATTTTGTTCGGAATTAGTTATCCAGTCTTTCGGGAAGGGTTTCGATCCCTGTTGAATCTAGTTGCCCAAGGTATTGCGGTTGGCTGTTTTTTTGCTCCCACGGTAGTAGCTAAAAAATTCAAACAAAGATCAGTTCTCTCCCAAAAGAAAAGCCTGATCAGAAATAAAGCTGAGAATTCAGAGAGAAACGATCTCAACAAAATCTCTGATCACAGCGTGGCATTATTAAAAATAAATTTGTATGAAAAGATTTTTATTAATATCTACCACGCAAAGTAAAACAAGTAAAAAAAACAGAGGCCTAAAACTAAAAAAAAACTTACCCTTTTATACGGTCAAGACACTAACCAATTTGAGAATGATTGTAGCAATTGTTGTAGAGTGAAAAAGAACGAATAAAGATTCGTATCGGCTTATATAGCGTAGCGCGGCAGCTAAAAATATTTATAATGTAGTGAGGTCGCTTAGGAATATTATAGTACAGGGGCCAAGTACCAAACGGAGCTTGGTGTCACGTTCAATCGGTTGATTGAAACGTTACAATATTATTACTAATAGTTATTTAAAAGATAAGAACTGATTTAGAAAAGAACAGTAAAAAATAAATACAACGATTAACAAGCAACGTTCACTAATTGCACCGGCAACAAACTGAAAGCCAATCTTGCTAAAATAAGTAGTAAAAATTCTAGGTTTAATAAGTTTTAATAATTTAATAGGAGCAAAACCGTACGCTTATGGCTTCTTACGTGTCTTTTCTGATTCTGTTTATTCCCAGCGCATCTGTATCTTGAATATTCTGTAGTAAATATTGTGTTCAGAGAACAATCTTAAATTTAAAATAAAAAAAGAGACAGATTCGTTAATTAAAAAAAAAATCAAAAATCTCTAAATCTAAAAAAAAAATCTAAAAAAAAACTATAAAAATCGTAAAGTTATCGTTTATCGAGGTAAAATCTGAGATGTTACAAGGAAATTTTTAGTTTTTCCTCATACAATCTTAATCTTGCATTTCAACACTTTAAGTATTATTTCACTAGTCGATCCCTAGTCTTCTGTAGTAACTTAAGTAGAAAAATAGGAAAAATAATTTTTATTATAACAATTTTTAAGGTGATCAACTGTTTATCGGATATGACTTTTTCATAATATTAAGTATTGGTAAAATTTCATATCGGTGTGTTATACAAATAATTTTAAATTGTAGATTACACTTATAGATTGAAAACATAAAATTATAATTTCAGGTCATAAAATTTACAAAGAAAGCCAAGGAATTAGCTAAGAAACATCCTGTGGCATCTGAATGTCAACTCAGCGAATTTTTACAAGCAGAAATGGATATGACTGGCGATATATGGATTCCTCCAGTTTAAGTGTTAATTAAGTCAATACAATTGGACGTATATAAGTTTATTTACGGCATAATATAAAATTGTATCAATGGAAATATTTCTATTTCTTTTTATTTTAGTCAAACAGAACAGCTTGAAAAAACAAGTTATCCTAAAACGGTAAGATCTAGGTAAACTTTTCATCATCAAAACATGAAACACTGTGAAGAATATGCTTTAGTGAAAAGAACTCTAATTAAAATAAAAATATTTAAAAATTAAAAACTGTTTATTCAAAATTACTGTCGAAGATATTTTTATGTTATACAATGCTCACACTTAGGGTCGAATAATCGGAATTTACAGGCATGGAGAATATTAATCAATCATTTGATCACTTAATCACAAAATTGAGCTGGATACAATACTGTGATACTCTAGAAATATAAATAAAGATAGTAACAATAAATTCCAAATAAAGCTAAATCACATATTGATGCCGTAATTTTAACTTTTATAGGTCAAATATTTATTTCCCGAATCTTTTTTTGGTTTCGCCTTTAACTGCCTATGCAATGCCAAAATAATTGTTAAAAAACTCTTTGATATAAGAAATATTTGCCTTCGCGAATATTCAATCTATTTCAAGTTCGGTTTTTTACTTTAACTTTTACTTTAATAAATAATAATGTACCAACTTTCCAATTTTATCTGCTTACTCCATGTTGATTTTACGTTGTACACAGAAAACTTATTCGTATAATCATCACCAAATAACAAATTAAGAAAAAAAAAAATTCAGTGTGTGGAGTTTATAAGTTTATGCTAAATTTGCGTTCCAATCTAGTTCCGTTTTTTTATTTAAAATTTAAAATTGACGTAAGACAACGTAAAATTAACTCGTTGAATGTTATGAATATTTTTATTGTTCCATCCGATGTTTGTCAATATTATGCAAACTTAGGCTTATGGTTAAAATTTAAATATATTAATGTTAGTCCATTAAGAAATAGTTTTATTTCTGACCTTTCCCCAACGTTCTCTATAGGTATTTACATTACTCATAACAAAATACAAATAATTTAAAAATTGCAAAACCATTGTTTTGACCTCTGGTTGAAAACCTACTACACTCGGTTTACAATTTGTTGATAGCTCACTACAAGTTTAATCCTAATTAGAGAACTGAAATACAGAGAGGATAGGTAATACGATATAATAGTAAAAACCAACCTAAAACTGACGATTTAAGATGTTTTCGACTAACCCACCTTGTATCTGCCGGAATACAATACAGCGGTCAAGCTTATAATCCGATTAGGAACGTATTTTGGTCGACCAGTGTCGTAGAGTATATGATTGAAACATTTATTTGAACTAAATAAATATATTTTTTAAATTGTATTTTTGTTTTAATAAAACTTATAATAAAATAAAATATTTTATTCAAAAATAAAGTTTTTTGCCATTTGTAAAAGATACATTTATTTAATTAAGGGGAAAGGCACCAAATGTGTTTTAAATGTATCCATTATTTTCGAATTCGGAGAAAACTAATAAATATTTTTGAAAAATTTAAAAGCAGAATGAAAGATTACATTATTACTGAGGGTATTATAATATGTGTATACTGATGTATATTACAGAAAGTTCCTGAAAACTTCTACAATGTTTATTTTATTATGTTATGCAACAGGGGTGAAAATAAAAGAGAGAATATAGTATAATTTTTAATTGAAATGCAAATTGCATGCAAAAGAAACTTTGTATTTATTCTAATAAATATTTTATTCTGCCTTTAAATTTTTCCAAAAAGACTTTTTAGTTTTCTCAGGATTTGAAAAAAAATCGATACATTTAAAACACATTGAACATTTTGACAGGCGACGTTTTGCGCCTTTCCTCTTTAATACCTTACGATTACAACTACTATCACTTACCTTATATAATTACGATTAGAAAACTATTCAAATTCAAAATAAATAGGATCAACTTCGGAATCCGAGTCGTCTTGAGTTTATTATAAGGAATTATGTTATCAAGATCCCACATTTTTTGTTCTTCTTCTATTACACGTCTTACTGCATCTTTCCAGTTTTGTTCTGTAATGTGTTGTAAAGACTCGTATAACAATTCACGTACAGCTTGTATTTTATATGACGTATTTTTTCTAGCCACATAACTTTTCATTTGTGCCCAAATGAGTTCAATTGGATTTATTTCGCAGTGGTAGAATGGAAGTCTAAGGACTGTGATGTTTCTCCTTTCCGCCATTTTGTCAACTACGTATTTCTTGAACTTAGATTTGTGTTGCGGGGCAATTTTTAAAAGTTCTGCTTTTACCATTCCATCTTCGTAAGGCAGGTACTTTTTCCGCAGCCAGTCAAGAATATCCTGTTTTTTCCACGCAGTCGTTGGAAGTCTTTCTACTAGTCGTGAATGATAAGGTGCATTATCTAATACTATAATTGAATTTGGTGATATGTGTTCAATCATCTGCACAAAATACTCTTCGAAAACATCAGCTGTCATCTCCTCGTGATAGTCTTTTGTGCTTTTGGACTGAAATTTCAACAAACCATGCTTAACAAATCATTTTTCACTGCCAATGTGAGAAACTATTAATCTACTGCCTTTACCAGAAGGTGGGGAGATACCAGTAGACCAACCTTCCATAAAGGCTTGCCTGGAGCTTAATATATTTTTATCTGACCAAACTTTTTTTAGAGTATGACCTGAGTTTACCCTCGATTCATCCTGGTAGAAGATTGGCCTTCCTTCAGCCCGGAATTTTCGTATGGATCTTAGATAATTTCTTCTCCAACATATTATCTCCTCCCGGTCAATCAAAAGTGATTTTCGGTCTGATTTCTCCCACCGGAAATTTAATTCTTTTAAAACTTGCCACAATTTAGTTCGTCCGATATGAGGCAAATCCGGATCATCTCTAACTTTTAGTCTCCGTAAAATTTTATTTAGGTTTGGTATTTCTTTTTTGAAAAAAAATCCATGAATTTTCCTTCGAATGCCATTTTTGGCAAATTCATCAAGTTCAATAGGCTTTTTCCCTCTCTTTAAGTGTTCGTTTGCGTTTGGGTTAGCTATACCGTGTTTTTTTCTTTCCGATAGGAACCTATATATAGTTGACTCCCCTACGCCAGTCATGTTGGCACAACTTTCGACTATGTTGCGAACAGTGTTTGTGGGATTCTGAGAAACCAGAGCATCGTGAACATTCAGGACAATAGTCTTCTCTCTTGGTGAATAGACAGTCTTACGGACTGTACGCAACAGTACCGGTATAAAACTTGATGATGTTGATGATGAAGCCATCACAAACAATCCAACAAAACGAGCACGAGCGAAAGGTACGTATATGTTCGTAGGTATATGGAATAAAAAATCACTCACGCACTGCATATAATTCGCAAAAGAAATATTCGAGACGCTAATTACTGCCGTAGAAGCGGAAACACCGACGAGCCGTAAATTACATGCAATCAAAAACGTACTAAACAAACAAATTGTTTTCGTTCGTAATAACTTTACCCTTTTAAGTTAAGTTTCGAATACAAACTAAACAGACGAGGTACGTGGCCAAATCCGGCATGTATACCCATTATATTATTAAAAATCTGGGGAATTCCATCCTAATTATCTTGCAACCGATAGTACCTTCGGATATAAATACCAGGTTTTCTAGTAAAGTGATTAAACGCGAAGATTAGTATTGAAATATCCAAAGAGATAAGGTATTCTTATTTACAAAATTGTTAATGGTTAAATTATTATTAATATACTATAATAACCAACATTAGCCGTGAAAGTTTTAATTGTTTTTTACTAAATATATCAGTATTAAAACATTATTAATATTAATATTAATTTTAATGAATAAACACCTCAGGAACGCCTATAATGATACAAATTTTACGACCGTTTGATGATTTTGAGGCATATTTCGTGCTATCAACAATTTGTGAACAGAGAATAATTACTTTTAATATTAACGTCATCTGTATCAGTCTCTTTTTCTTTATCCACATGCTGGGTCAGCTTCTCTAATTACTTAATTTCTCCATGAGTTTCATCGAAGTAAAACTAAATTCGAGCTTTTAATTTTGTGCATTTTATATTTCCATCCGATTATTAGTTCTGCCAAAACGAGAACATGTACAGAACAACTAATGTAGGATCGATATTAAACATTTTTTGAAAAATTTAAAAATTGAAGCCCCCTGAGGAGGGAGCACCTCCCCAGGTGTATGGGTAGAAAATCTTAATTACAAAATCAATTTACTACTATTTTTTAATTGTACTTGAAATTAAAAAGCAGAAGGTGTTTGGCTTTAATGCATCATTGTTCCCATTCCAAGATTAAATACTTGAACTAATTTAAATACACAATTATCACACAATAACTTGGTCACAGATCTATACAAGTTGGTATTAAGCTAAGAACACATTTTTAATACGTGTTGTTTTAGCCCATATCAACACGGCGTGTCAGAAAGCGACATATCAGATATGCCGGACACATATCTGTGTTGTAAAATGTGTGTTTTGCTAACATTTTGATGTTTTTGAAATTGTAAAATAGTGCTTACAATACAATGAAGCACCTACAAGAAGAGATAGATTGGTTAGATAAAGAAGAGGAAATTAACTGTTACTGCGTCATTTTTGTGCAAGGATATGAATCCTAGTACTGGGAATACTGGGTTCATCTTTATTTTATAGGTTGAACCAAAAATCATACTTGCGTACTCTTGTATTATTCTATTAATTGTTTTTCTTGATGATTTAACATTCTGTAACACCCTGTGGATGGAAGGAATATTGTGCAGACTACACCATATAAGTACTTAGGATATGAAATTCGGTTGGGCAGAGATAACTAGACATGTGTCTGGGTTGCGTTTTTCAAATTAAGCTATGTATTTAAGTTGTATCTACTCATATGCCTCAAGAGGTTAATCTTTAACCAATGTGTGTTACCTGTACTCACTTATGGAGCGGAAACATTATCAGTCACAAAAAAGGTAGTTAACAAGATTCGCGTGACTCGAATCGCTATGGACTCGAATCCAAAACGAATAAATACGCCGTAGAACAAAAACAACAGACGTCATCGAAAAAATCCTCAATAAAATGAAATTGAGCAGGACACATCGCCAGATTATCAGACAACCGATGGACAAAACGTATTTTATAGTGGAGACCAAGGCAAGAAGCAATACGGAGCATAACACGCCCACTAACGAGATGGACTGACGACCTGAAGCGCGTTAGCAATAACTGGATGCAAGCCATATAAGACAGAGACAGATGGAAAGAGCTGAGGGAGACCTATGTCCAGCAGTGGACGCTGACAGATTGATGATGATGAACACTCTGTAGAAAATATTAACACGTTAGATATTCAAAACACGCGATAGGACGTGTTAAAGTTTGTTGTTGGTTTCCGTCGGCGAATCACAATAATACGTATAGATCAACATATTATTTATTTAAAATAACGTAATAGATTTTTATATGATACGTGTTAATGCGTGTTAACACGACGCATGTTAAAAATGTGTCCTTAGTTTTAGTCCAGGATATGACGGTTTTCGGCACAGAATTCTTTTTATATGCATAGATTTGACTAAAATTTTGACAGGATGCAGAAAATATCTTATACGATTAAAATTTCATACCAACATGTGCTTTTTGTCTGGGCGTGGTTACCACCGCAACTGGGGGGGGGTGAAAACAGTTTATCAAAACAT